CCTCAGCACACCCTGGCCATGCCTTTCTTTCGATATCATCCGCGACAACCTCGGCGACAACCGCAAGGCCTACCCTGCTACCATGTATACCGTCTCTGGAACACAGGCTGAGACTGGAAAGGCTTCTGACAACCAGATCATGGTTATGAAGTTCAGCGGTCTCAGCAAGATGGACCGCGGCGACGAGGGTTCCGACTCAGAGGACGATGATGACGAGGACTCTGACCCTATCCTGGAGAGCAAGTCTATTCCTCTCAACTCTACGACCAACCGTATCCGCGCCCACCAGATTCCTAGCCAAGAGGCTGGACGACCTGGAACTACTCTCACTGCTACCATGACCGAGTCAAGCAACGTCTTCATCCACGACATTTCTCCCCACCTCGCCTCTTTCGACAACCCTGGTACTACTATCTCCGCTCAACAGAACAAGCCTATCTCTACTGTCCGCGCCCACAAGACTGAAGGCTACGCTCTTGACTGGTCTCCCACAGTTCCCGGTGGTAAGCTCCTCACTGGTGACAACGATGGTCTCATCTACGTGACAACACGCACCGATGGAGGCGGCTGGGTCACCGACAACAGACCTTTCCAGGGCCACACAAGCAGTGTCGAGGAGCTCCAGTGGTCACCCTCCGAGCAATCTGTCTTTGCCTCTGCTTCAAGCGATGGCACCATTCGTATCTGGGACGTGCGATCCAAGTCCCGCAAGCCCGCTATCACCATGCAGGTATCCAATGTCGATGTCAACGTCATGTCTTGGTCGCGCCAGACGACTCATCTGCTCGCTTCAGGAGACGACAACGGTACATGGGGGGTCTGGGATCTTCGACAATGGAAGGCCAGCTCCGATAAGCCACAGCCCATCGCCAGCTTCAACTTCCACAAGGAGCAGATTACAAGCATTGAGTGGCATCCCACCGACGACTCCATCGTTGCCGTCGCCGCTGGTGATAACACCGTCACACTCTGGGATCTTGCTGTCGAGCTTGACGACGAGGAGAGCAAGGACACAGCGGGTGTCAAGGACGTGCCGCCCCAGCTGCTGTTCGTGCACTACCTCAAGGATGCGAAGGAGGTGCACTGGCACCCTCAGATCACGGGTAGCTTGGTTGCCACAGGAGAGGAGTTCAGCGTCTTCAGGACCATCAGCGTATAAGGTGTCTATCTGTGGGGTGAAATGACTGGGACGGAAAAGTTTACAGACAGGTTCATGGTGGATCTGTTATTGATTGAACGGCATGGCACGGCGTATAATGAGATCTCCTTTGTTGGATTTGATAGATGAATGACTATGTGTTTCTTGGACTTTACTCTGTTCGGTGTTAAGAATCTATGAAATCCTTCGATATTCCTCATCCCTGCATGCGTAAGCTGAGGCTCCATTACACGTAAAACAAGCTAATATTTAATCTTACAATTCTACTCTAAATTCTCATCAACACTTTTCATGAAACACTTCTTCTCTCTCAAGCCAGGTCAAGGATTCAACTGAAGTCCCAATTAACATTTTACTGTTCTCCATACAAACTACCGTAGGATTACGGAGCTGAACGACTAGCAAAACGACAGTCTATAAACTAAGATTACCTCTCTTCCTCCGTCTACCCTAGGGCCGAACTACACCATATCGCTAAAACCACAATATACCATATACCCATCATCTCAAACACAATTGCATCTGTTTGTAGGGCTAGACTATTGATTCTAGGGTCCTCCCGCTAAAGACTTTGACTCGAACCAAGGCGTCCCAGCCGAGTGGTAGCGATCCCCCCGCGTTTAGAAACATGTCAAACCAACAGAGCCCGCCGTTCCAGAACGGTCTTTTTTTCCATTTCTTGAGCGAAAGAATGACAATGCCTTACGCCACAAAATGCTTCTATGGAAAAGGGGGTGGAATGTCACTGATATGCTTAAAACAGGGTTGAGAGCGAAAATTGGGTTAATCTGACAGGATGGCTCAGCCCTGTTCTGCAGGAGAAAGGGGGTGAGATGAGATTTCTGGAAGATGAAGGAGAAGGATGGAGATTAATGCATGATTTTAAGTCAAGATGAGATTATGAATTAGTTTAATTATTGGCAGGTAATTTTTGAAGATACTTTCGGTCTTTTGCTGTATTTGCCTTTGTCTACAGGACATGGCGTCGTTAGTGAAGATTCACACGATGCACAGATGTAACGTTGGGCTTATGCAGCTTCTTGTGTAGTGTAGTGCTGTGCAACACGACATGCCATGCGAGATCTGTGCCAAGGCCACGCCGTTAAACGTTAACCAGTCTCCCATGTCGACGGGCAGGGCTGAGCCGTGTTCCCTCTGTACTAGACGTCATGAAGGCTCGAGCTTGGTCTGTTGGTTCGTCTTCATGACTAGGTAGTGTTGCGCCATTGTTGGTTTGACATTGTGTTCGCAGTAGCAAAAAGACAGTGTATTGAAGCAGGTCTATAAACGCTTTTAAATGACACCCTGAACCCCCATCGAGATAGCGAGCTCTTGCCCCCGACGTTATACAAAAAAATGTCTACATTACGTGTGTCGTTCAAATACCGTGGGACGGTACATTATTGTCGTGCAGGTCTAACCCGAGTAAATGAAAATATTGGCCAAAAATGGCTAAAGAATAGCTAATGAGCCTTGCCGAATGGTGATTGTAGCCTGACAGGCCATCGCCGTGCCATGTCAATTTTACTTTGACGGCTCACGGCTCTCAGCTGTAGGAAGAGCGTTCTTCTTGGCCTCGTTCTCCTTGACCTTGGCCCAAGCATACACAATGCCCGAGACGAAACCGATGAAGATGGCTGAAACACTTCCAACGGTAACGGGAGCAGCGAAGAAGATAAGACCAGAGACGGCGATGGGCAGCTTGTTGAGAGCACCAACCATGGAGTAGGTGGTAGAAGAGGTAACTCGGATGCACCAGGCGGAGCAGTAAGAAATGAAGATAGCGGCCAGACCAGAGTAGATGATGCCGATGAAGATACGGTTGCGTGAGTCCTCGGGGAAGTTCTTGGCGAAGTTGGCGCTGGACCAGTCCTCAGTGACGAGAGAGAAGAAGACAAGGACGGGAATGGTGAGAAGGTTGTTGTAGTACATGGCTATCGATTTGTTAGCGGCTGTTTCTCGTCATGCAGTATCTGGAGCGCAACACAGGTTGCGCCCTTTGGATATACGTACTGTCCCAATCCTTGAAGTTCATCTTGTGGATAACCTTGCGCATACCCAAAACATAAGAGGCAGAGCAGAAGACGTTCATGGCCATCCAGAAGTAACCGGCGTTCAGAGTAGCAAGCGCATCAGCATCGCCAGTAGAAGCGCTGTAGTCACCAGAGATAGCGCTCTTGATATCAGCCCAGGCAGCAACAACAGAGCTCAGAACCATAAGACCGAAAGAAGAGAGGGCGATGGGTGTGACGGAACCGCCAAACCAGAGGACCTCACCATAAGCAATGGCAATGATGGTCAAGTTCTTGAAAATGGTGTAGACAGGCACGGAGAGGTACTGCAGAGCCTTGGTGCTTGTATAGATCATACCAACGAGGACGAGCGAAATGGGGTACCCTGTTCAAGTTCGCATTAGCCATTGCCCCTCATTCGTGAAAAGCAATTATACATACACTTCTTGATACGGTCCATCTCGAGGGGAGCGAGGGACTTGATCATGCCAAATTGCTTGCATGCTGTGATGGCAACAATACAGACAATGGACTACAGAGACACCGATGTTAATTCGCATTCCTCAAACGCGGGGAACAGCGATAAACATACCTGAACCGCGAGATAGAAGAAAGTGAGGTTCCATGAGGTACCAGACACAACATACTTGTTGACGACGGTCATGGAGATAGAAGATAGACAGTAAGACAGAATAGAGAATGGCCCGCTGTTCTCAATCTTGTTCATGAAGCCTGAAGGCTGCGCGGGGAGGGCATCAGTGCCAGGACCGCGGCCAACAAGGGAGTCGTTCTCCTTGTCACCATCGCCAATGTTGTTCTCGTTGGCAGACTCGGGCATCTTGGCCACGAAGTCATCGTTCTTCTTGTTCTGGTCAGCCATGGCTGCGGCGTCGAGTCGGTCGATCGGTCGCAAACGATTAAACGGCTTCTATTAAAAAAAGAGTGGACGAACGGCCGAAGTGTCGTTCAACAGTGATTCAATGCGTAGCAGAGAATGACGAATCTCGAAAAGAACACGAAGCGACACGATACGATATGCGGGACAAGACAAGACAAGACGAGAAAAGCGATGGGCTCCAGATAAAAATCGATCCGGTCAATCAACCAAAGGCCACCGTTGGAGATGCCAAGTCGAGTGGATAGGGAGGGATAGGGATAGGGAATAAGAAAAAAAAGGGTGTATCACTGTGACTTCTGCTGCACGGTACAATTGTCAGTGGGAAGTGAGGAAAAGGGGGCTTGCGTCCGTTCTTGGCCAACTTGGCTACATTCAACTAAGGCGATATGGATCCCGGTAAGAGCTTTCCCACTTTTCTTTTCTTACGCCGCGTAAGAGTCAACAATTGCATCTGCTACTTATCTTCATATACTGTATAAGTGAATAACCCCGCTGTCTGAACCTTACTGGGACACGAAGTTGATGAGGCTGGTTGTCGACGTCAGGAACCCACATCCCGACCGAGGGTCCCTGGCACTTCAAACTGGCTGCAGACAGAGTCTGTTTGGATATTTACATATGCTACAGAGAGAATAGGGGCTACAACGATTATCATCGAAGTCGAAGAGTCTCTATCCCTGCCGAGACAATCTGTGGATGGGTCATTGGTGCTGTGCAGGCACGTGGCCGTGGCGCACTTTGAACGCATCCATAATCGAATCGCCCGAGTGGAGGAACCAAGCCAAGCCCAGGAGATGGAGGTGGGTGAATGTGGATTAGGTATGGATGGAACGGGAGACACTAAGTTAGAGCCTAGAGGTAGGTACCGACTTAGAAGAACTAGGATGCTATGGTATGGGGATGGGGGGTCGCATCTTTTTATTCCCAAGGTCAAAAGACGTTTCAATATACTTTCTTTTTTCTCCTTCCCTTCCATTGCATCTTCCGTCTTGTCTTTTCACTGCCTTTGCTTTCTTGCTTGCTTGCTTACTACTCTAAACCCGTGATAGAAGTATCCGGGTGTTCCACTCCTTTTCCACAACCATAACTCTAACCTAAAACATCCCCTTCTATGAGTTCATCATGTTACCTGTCATGAACCGCTTCGCACGCATCGCGCTAGCCGTGATTGCTGTGCTCTTCGTCTTCGCTATATTGGTGTCTTACCAGGCGCCCGAGAGCTTTAAGGATCATTTACCAAGCGCAGACTGGCACTGGCCTTCGAAAGGCGACAATGCCACTATCGACGAGCCCCCAAAGCCTACCGACGCCGCTGGTGCCGTGGGCGCTGGAGAGGAGGACACAGAGTTGGACAAGGACCCTAACACAGACATCTCCTACGATTTGACCCGGGCACCTACACCGGGTTGCGAGAATATCGTCAACGATCTTCAGCAGCGTCTTATTCATGCGTACCAGAAGAGGTTCGCGGGAATTCGCTATGCCAACATCTGGGGCTATCTCGAAACGGAGAACAAGGGTGATGCTGCTATTTGGTCCGCACAGCAGATTCTGCTGAGTATCCTTGGAATCGAGACTATGGAAGCCTGCCGGTAAGGATCTCGTATGTACCACGTTGGACATGATCAATATTAATGCAATGTGATACAGCTTCATGTACAAGGACTGCGACATTGAAAAGTTCCGCAGAAAGCTGGAGGAGCACCGCCCACACTCTGGTATCATCATGGCTGGTGGTGGTAACTTCAACGATTATTACTGGGAGGACCAACCTTCGCGCATGAACATGATTGAGAACTTCATCAACGTCTCCATCCGAGCTTTCCCTCAGAGTATCTACATGACCAACCCCGAAAGGATTGAGAAGACCAGGAAGTCTTTCACCAAGCACCACGATTTACAGTTGGCTGCTCGTGACAAGCCCAGCTATGACTGGCTCATGGACAACTTTGGAGAGACTCAGGGTATTCAGAGTGATCTTGTTCCTGATATTGCTTTCATGTGGGGTAACCGATCTGACTTCCGACTCAACACCAAGAAGACGTTAGTATTGCCAGCCTAACCGTTGAACAAAGGCTAACTTTATATCTAGTCACGATATTCTGATTCTCGCCCGAAAGGATGCCGAGATCTCTGATGGTGACTCTGCAGGCATTGAGTTTGGCGAGGGCAAGGTCGACCTGGGTGGCAGCATCGGCAACGTAACATACAACAAGGTCGACTGGAAGTTCACCAAGACCCCTTCGATCGACGACGACGCCCAGCGCGAGGAGGGTAAGAACCAGCGAGCGTGGGCCAAGTCGATGGCAGGTTTCGAGCTCTTGGGCTCTGCCCATTTCGTCATCACCGACCGTCTCCACGGTCACATTCTATCGACAGTTATCGGCGTACCACACGTGCTGATGGATAGCAAATTGGGTAAGAACCTCAACTTCCACAACACATGGACGCGCGACTGCGGCTGCACAAAGATCACAAAGAGCATCGACTCTGCGTTTGATGTGGCGCGCATGTACTTTGAGCAGGAGGTCAAGGATGGCCTCAGGGCTGTTGACCAACCCAAGCCCAAGTCATTACCTACACCTACTCCCCAGGCTGAGACTGGCTCATCATGATGAACTGGCTAGCAGCCAGATATAATGTTTTCCTTACTACCCAGGATTGGCGGGTTTATTATTACCAATTGTGTTTTTCTGCTTAGAGTCGAATGGTTGTCCCGAGCCGGCTGGGGGATATTCTGCTATTCTGATGGGAGACACATAACACACATACATACCGACATGTCGCCCATCTCGTCATGATGGAGCAGGCCTATCTTGTTGGGGGCACTGAATGGGGAACGGAACAGGGGATACCATGCACGGCGCTACCATTTTGTCTCTAATTTCGTCACCGCATCTTAGACTTTTTACTCGTCTCTTCATAGTAATGTCTTTGCCTGTCTCGAGAAAAGTCGGGACAGAGCAAAAAAAGAAAATAGCATACAATGCGCCTCGCGTTTCGTTGCGAGCTGTACAATAACGAAACCCAGAATAAAACAGTCATCACCTCACCCAAGTCTCACGTTGTTCACCAAGTGGCCAGTTCAGGACCCATTATTCGCAAACGTGATTGATACACGCATCGCCAAGCATTCAATGCCTTACTCAGGTTTCACATAATCATCATCCGGGCGGAGTAGCATGTCCATCTTCATCAAAGGGTCGTCCACTTTTTCCTTCCCTCGATTTTTTTTTCGGGGCTAAGATTCCTTATAATGCAACTCACCGAAATCTGCCCTGTCTTAATTGAGAAAAAGACGAGCACGGAGGAAGTAAGACTAAGACCTTGGGGATCGTCTCTCCAAGCTGAAACGCTCCATGGATTCCTCCAGTCGGTCCCTGGCCACTGAGGCGAGTTTGTGTGATCATCACGTGGAGAATATCCTACATCGGAGTAATGAAGGGAAGAGGAGAGAAATGAAGGTAGTATTCGGCTGAGGAGATAATGGAAGATCATGGACGGGAGAGGACAAGGTGATGGGTTATGCGTGGCTGCACCAAAACCTGATTATTGCTATCTTGGCTCTTGTCTCGCTTCCCGTTTACACTTGGCTACGGTTCGGTACATTACAATAAGGTAGGTATGTATCCTCGGGTGTTTTCTTGCATCTGCAGTATGTAAGTATGTCTATGGGGGGGTATTCCTGTGGAGTCTCGCATTACTCGCGCTTCGAGTACGTTTGTTCAAACAATCAACGGCTGACTGAGTCGGCATCGCGCTGATCATCCTTCCAAGGTTACAGCGGCAATACTGTAAAACAAAACATCGAATCCATCCATCCATTTCCTTTCAAACCGACTGCAACCTTTAGCACATAGACTTAAAAATTGGCTTATTTGTTTGAGTTTTAGTAAGGGGTTCTCCTACCTTATTCGCCCCGGCAGGGGACCAATGGCGGAGGTTTGATCAACATCTGCATTTCCCAGAAATCTCTACGTCACTCGCAAGAGCCTCTGTAGCTGCATATCCCCAGTGGCTAGAGGGACACCCCACAACTGGCATAAGCGCTATCCTGCAGAGTTTCCACCAAGTAATTCCTCCCACTTCCCATCATTGCAGCAGATGCAGTGCCACTCTCCGCCTTGTCACAGTCGCCAATTCTTCGCCAACACCCCACGTCTTGTTAGTTAAGTTAAAGCCAAGCTAAGGCCAATGTCAAATCTTATCAACGAACCTCCGTCCCCTGGCCTGGCATGGGCTCCAGGACAATAACCCCTCGATGGCGGTACTTCGGTAGAGCTTCCAGGGAACAAGGCCCATGACCTGGAAGGTCAAGGAATATAGTTAAGATGGAGTATAGTGATGGTTCTCGTGTCTTCTCATTCGTTAGCGAGGCTAAAGCAATATCCAGCGTCCAAGTTTAAAACCAAGGCCAAGGTGTGGCGCCAGATTTACCCTGCTCTCCACTGGGATAACGCGTTCGATCCATTTAAGCAACGCAAGCAGGCAAACGGAAGCCCCCTATTCCGCCTGTGGCACTAGATACACGCACTACTTCTCACTGACGACACCCTAGTCTTTAGTCTTGGGGGTTCTCTGTGCCTGCGTATTTGGGTCCTAGTGCGGAAATAGACTTGATCAATCAATCAACAAAACCTCCGGACAGCCCGTATTTGCCAGCCTCTCCCCTCTCAGAGAGTCTTGACTTTTTCATACATCTTCGTGTTTTTTTTGGTTCTTAGTCAGAGTTGAGAGAGAGAAGACCCTTGGAAGCTTGTTCACTCGGAAACTCGCTTCAGACATTCGTTTACCCACATCACGTTGACTGACTTGCTTGTTGTTTTCCTCTATTACTACTCTACTCTCTTCTTTCGTATTCTTCCTACTCTTTCATATCCATTTTCGTTTCATTACCTTACATTAGATTCGTACTATTTTGGTTGTTGTTGGTTCTACACATATCTTGTCCACATAAACCTTAATATCTTTTGTCACAATGGCTGCCGCCGAACAACCTCAGGTCGAGAACCGCCCCCCGCCTTCACGGATGAGAGTCGCCCTGGTGGTGCTCTTCCATTCATCATGTGCTATCTGGAGCACTATTCTATCTAAGTCGGCCCTCAATGGTGTTGAGGCCCCCGTCACATTGCTTGCTCTCCAGACAACGATACAAGTAGTACTACTCACAATTATTGGAGTTGCTACAGGATGGGTCAAGCTGTATAGACCACTCAATGTAAGTGACACAACTCAATGTCTCTTCTCTTCAAGAAAGTCTAACATATAATCTTAGGCTTGGATTGCTCTTTTACCCCTCACGGTCGCGCGTCTCATTGGAATCTTGGCCAAGACGTACTGCCTCGCCTCGGTTAACGCCTCCGTCTACCAGATCGCTCGTGGTCTTCTACTACCATTTACTCTCTTCCTGTCTCTGCTGGTTCTCCGACCTCGTCCTTACTACCCTCCAATCTCTCTCGTCGGCTGCGCCATGGTCATGGCTGGTTTCGGAACCGGAATGATGGCCGACTACAGCCAGATGCTTACCTCCGGCAAGGGTGTTCTCCTCGGTGTTGGATCTAGTTTCACCACTGCCGTCGAGTCCGTTGTCGTCAAGCGATTCCTCGGCAAGAGCCAGGAGGGTATGTGGCAGATGGTCTGGATGTCCAACTGTATGGCCGTCCTTTTCTATATTCCTCTCTTCCCTCTTTCTGGAGAGATGAGCACTATGAGCAGCCTTTTCACCGTCGAGTCCATGGATGTCGCCCGCCAGTTCCTCAGCTCCGCCTGTTTGACCGGTGTCTCAGCCTTCCTCCTCACTATCGCTACCTTTATGCAAATCGAGGTCACTAGCCCGACCACCCATATGATTGTCACCGCCGCTCGAGGTGTCGCCCAGAGCTCTCTCGCCGTTGTTCTGCTCGGCGAGATCTTGACTGCCGACCGCGCCGGCAGCATGGCTCTTATTCTTACCGGAAGTGCCCTCTACGGCTGGGCCCGAGACCGATACCAGCAGGCCAAAAAGGCCGCTGGCAGCTACCAGCTTCTTCCTCGCGAAGAGGAGGGCCGAGCTGAAATGGTGGACAGCAAGGAAGCAAAAGATCTCAAGTCATAAGATCTTTGCTTTCTCTTGCTGGCCATGAGATAAAATAACATACCATTTCCTTTTTCTTTTATTATTCTTGGGTATGGCGGGCTTCATCATGACGACAGGTGTTTGGATGATCAGGTTTTCGGCATACTTGCTTTTTTCAGATTCTATACACCTTAGACATAGAGACGATTTACTATGTAATCTGGGGTATCCAGTTTAGCCCTTATTTTCTCCCTCAGCAGTGCGCAACGAGGGAGAGAAGCTTGAAGATAAAAAATACACGTTTATATCAAACTTTCCGAGCTCCGCAGTGAAGAGTGTACACGTAAGAGAAACTGAAGAAAGACATTGTTCATCTGATCTTGCAGAGCCAAGACGGGACAGCTTTTTAAGCTTACCTATTCCTTGGAAATATCTTACGTTTTCTATTGGTGGTGCTCTACCAACCGGTTTTCTGGGATAATGATTCACTACTTTCTTTTCTCATGCTCCAAATGCCGGATTCGATTCGATGGCCTCACGGAAGGGAGCCGGAGAATTGCGGCTCGTTATGAGACTCCCGCCAGCCACCCGCTGTAAATTAAATGGAGACATGTTGAAAACTGACATCACTGGAATGTTGGAAGAAAACTTCATGTAAGTGGTATTTCGTGATTGTATTTTCAATGTACTAAGAAACCGTATATTAAGAATGTTCATGCATGGTTCAAAAAACTCTGGAAACATAGAGCCGCTCATCCTGATTCCCGATCATGTGAAATGGTGCCGCGTAATGTACAAATAAAAAAAGTGCAAAAATCCCAATAAATCATATCTAATTGTCTTTAGTTGCGGTTATACTTTTCGAAAGCCTCGTTGATCCAGGCCTTTGTGTTGGCTTGGTTCTGTTCCAATAGGGACTTGGTAAAATCCCTCACGGCCTGCCTTCGCTTAAGAAAACCGTCTCGGTCATCAATCACTCGCTCAATAACGTCCATCTCGCCCTCACCGGGCCGGGCGACCCAGGTAGCCTCTCGGGGCATGTAAGAGTAAGCCTTGAGCAGCTCCTCTGTCGCAACGATGGGGGCTCCTGCGATCAAAGCTGCGGGAATTGTTGAAGAAGCCTTGCGGTCGAAGTATGTCTCGGAGGCAAACGCGGGAAGAAGGGCGAAAGACTTGGATATCAATGTATAGAAGTCGGGATAAGAAAGGCCCTGATCGAAGTAGACGTGGTCCTTAACATGGTCGGGAACCTCTGGAGGAGTACCGTGTCCGATGACGTGGAGGCTGACGTTCTGAGGGGTGTGGCCCTCGGCTTGCTCGCCGGCCTTTCGGATGACGCTACCAAGGTGGTTGAAGATACCGTTGTAGTCACGTCGGCCAGAGGAGTAATCGCCCTGAAGAGACAGAGAAATACCGGGCTCGAGATCAGGGTCGGGAATGTGGACGGGGAACACCGGCGGAATGACGCGAGTGGTGAGGTTGGCGGCTGTGTGCCACTTGGGAATAGTGTCGTTGAGGAAGAAGTCAATGGTGTGCTGACTCAGACCAACAAAGTCCACGCGCTCGTGCTCTGCCCAGCTTCGAACGGCCTGGACGTACTTGCCCTGGGCCCATCGATCAGCGTGGTGGATTGTGCAGAAGAGATGGGTGTTTGCGCTCTTGAGGAGGTTGACGATAGGATCGGTGCCACGGTCGAGGTCGAACTCGCATGTGGTAGATACGAGAATGTGCGGGGGGTTCTCGGTGACATCGTTGGCGAACTTGTCCCACTTGTTGATGGTGACGTTGGCAGCGAGGGTGAAGTTGGCCATGATACCCTGCATGTTGAAGCGCTGGTTGGCGAAGTACACGTCGAGCTGGGAGCCCTCCTGATCTCCGAAAGCGTGCATGAGAGCAGCGGCGACCTCGTCGTGTGTGCCCGAGGACTCTACGAGCATGATGCGCAGAGGCTCGTTGGGGTCCTTACCCTTCTTCTTGCTACCACCCATCCATGATG